TTTAAGTCTTCCCATTCATTATCACTTTTGGTTCATCACCAAAGTCAGTAAGTAGCTACTGGGGAGGAGGGAGGAAAAAAAAAAAAAAAAAGCAGCAACCTCAGAATGAATCAAAGTTCAGGAACTTAAGGTATAGATTCACTGTTCACTCATGAGGCTTTTAATCATACATTTAAAAAGCAAACATCTGTTAATTTCATTCGGTATTTGCTGAGATCTATAGAATTTAGAAGTATATGAAACCACTCTAACTTCCTTTCTTAGAAGTAACAAGTGGTACTTCAACCCTGCCGTCACAAACAAAAGCTAGAATTTACTTCCTTTTTGTCTAACCAATACCTTTTAAAAAGAAAAAAACAAATCAGTTGCAATGATCTAGCCCAAATGATACGTCACGGCAGCAACCAGCTATTGCAACACAGAATTCAGCAGGGCTGTGTAAGCCACTCTAGAAACTGCGTTCTTCCATGCACAGCTGCCCTGGCCTGAGCCAAAGCTGCCACATGAGGCTGGGCATCTGAGCTAGTGATTGGGTAAGCAGAAGAATATGATGTGTAGAAGTCACTGCTATGACATATCCTCAGGTTTGGTTTGCTGACACACTGAAATAATGGCTAAAGAGACAAAGAATATGGAAGGAGGCTTAGGCTGTCACTTTTTCATCTGTAGAAAACTAGATCAAAGCTATCTGCAGTGAAAAATGCAGTACATAGATATACATCATAAAGGTAGCAAATACATGCTAGGCAAACAAATATCTTGGCTTCACTTTAAAAAACAACAACAAAACAAGGCAGCAACCTCCCCTCTAGAAAGAGCAATAGAGACAAACCAAAGTTCCTAATAACAAAAAAAGCTCCAAGACCAAGAAAGCAAAGTAAATGCCTCCTGCAATTGGCAACATTTTAATAAAAGTAAAATAATATTCAGGTGTAGGTCCTTTACTATGAAGGTGTATTTCAGCTAAAAAACTGAACTAGTGGTTCTGAATTATCTGAAGCTGTCGGGCACAGTGGTCTATTGGAAGACCCGCTCAAAAAAAACTCACTTACTTGCTTTGGAAGGCAAGACACCCTAGTACACAAAGGCTAAAACTCAGTTCTGATTGTGTGTGCGCTGTAGAGCCAAGCTCTTACTACTTCATTTCATCCTTAATGCAGACAACCCAGAAGTTATGTGGAGAATCTGTGTTGACTGTGCTTTGCTATGCATGAGCTGGAGAACGTGGGAGAGCCCTGCTGATGGCAGACTCAAGAGTCTTCTCTAAAGTTAGCATTCTCCCACACAGACAGTTGTCCACCTCCTGTGGGGAGCCAAGTGGAGCCAGCCACACTGTCTTACCACCTATGGGTTCTTGCCTGTCTAGAGAAATATTTGTCTGGTTATTAAAGGGCAATTTTCCAATTCCAGCACGATCAGTGCAAAACATATCTTTGGTTGCCTTCTGGTTAAGTCCAATACATAAGTTATACACGTACATTTCCCTTATTTAATAGAAGCCCTATCTTAGGATTTATTAAATAGATGAGCTCACTGGAGGAGAACTCCTATTAAACCAGGAAAAAAAGAGGGGAAGGGGGCAGTGAGAAGGGGAATAAAAACCCCGTAACCTTTCATTGTCATGCTAGCAAATAATGCTGGCATGCTAGCAAATAATGCTGGCATGCTGCTACTGTACCTTTCTAAATGCAGTAATACATGTTCACTGCTTGACCTTGTCAATACATTCATAACTGTTTTAATTTGGGCATTTTCCATCAGTTACTTTGGATCTTTTATATAAGCAAACAGATTGTACCAGGATCTCCACACTAGTGTCTGAGGGATGTAATAGACATGTTCACTAACAGCTTTTTTGGGAGGTGAATCTTATTTCTTGCTTTTCTTATGAGCAGTACACACTTTTTAGGATTGACTAACAGGGAGACATCCTGAAAATGCAGGCCCTAGAAGTGTCTGTTTCGTATTATAAGTTTCAGTGCTGATACTGTTGTTAGGGAGGAAGCACTTCAGGGAGCTTACAGATCCAAACATTACTTGGGTTAGCAAGACATATGGAAAACGAGATTATCTGAGGACTTATAGAAACTCTATCTACAATGCAGTTTACTTTCCATAGAGAATGATTCATAAAAATACTACTTTAAGCAAGATTAACACTATGCAGCAATGTTTAAAGCTAGCAGTAGGAATGATCCCTGCCAGAGAAGAGCAAGTTTCTTCCTGCTGTCCTGAATTTGGGTCTTGTCAGAGGGGAAGCGATGCACATTTTGGGCTTTTGAACAACATTAATCCATTTGTAGATTGGCTTATTTAATAGTAGATAATTAGAAAATAATGAAGACATGCCCAGAGACATTAAACATTTGCTGTTAAATCAAAAGCTGAACTTAGCAAGTACAATCCTGTTAATTACAGCTTCTCAGTAATCAAACTGATTGACTGGGCAAATTGATCGGGCAGTTACCCGATCCACACCTCTGTCCTTCGCACCTCTCAGTCACCATGTGTTTTATTATTAATGTCTCTGTCAGCCAGTGAAGTGTTTTATCTGAATGTGGCATACAGTAAATATCTTGTCCAGGGTTATGCAAGAAAACTGTCAAGTTCGGAGTAGACTCTCTGCCACTTGAATCCTGCTTAAGACAATTAGCTAATAGATCTTCCCATCCATACACGTAACAGATGGAAGTGTGAAATTCATTAGAATTTACCTAACAACCCATCTGCTTCTAGCCTTATGATAGACAGGAGTACATTCATCAAACACTTGCTTAGCAGATTTTGTATTTGACGGTTTATTACCACAACAGCAAAAAGCATTCAGTAGCCAGCACACTGGACACTACAGGGAAAAGCCAAAAGGACTTTTTGATGTACTAGCGCTAACCAAAACATAACAAGAAGGATTGAAGTATTAATCTAAACCCTGACGTTACAAAATAAGGACTACTTCTTCCATTTGCATATAGAAACAATGCAGAATAGACCTGAAGTGGTTAAAAACACCAGCAACAATTACTGCTTTGTGAAGAAATCTCACCTATCAAACTGAAACATTATCTGTCCAGTAACTTCCTCTTAACTTCAGGAAACAGAAGCAAACGAACCAGCATAACACTGCTGCTTCCATGCTTTAAAGAGAATGCGGCTCCCTTGGGTGTCAATATGTCAGGCCACAAAACCAGCTCCTTGATTCCCCTACCTGTCTCCTAATTACACCCCAGTTTATCTCAGAGGCAACTAAGAATATAACTCAAATAACTATCTTTTTACTTAATACTTCACAGACATTTTTTACCAGATACTGATGGTAGCATGAACCCTCAGTTCAGTTTCTGTGGGAGGTCTTTTTTCTTTTGATGTGTATTTAAACATCTATTTTCAATATGAAGAAAATTTTTTATCCAAAATCTATACAGCTGTTCCTACTACAGTCTTGTACGGCTTACCTACATGAAAGCAGGAAATTGCACTTGTCTGTCTTTAAGCGAATTAATTAAGATTAATTAAACCTCCATGTGGATATTTTTATTCATAATCTAAATGAGCTTCATTTGATTAACTCTGTTCCACTCCTTTAAAGCAATCTACATACAATTAAGCCCCTTTGATTCTGAATAGGTAAACAGATGAGTTTAGCATAATCCATTTAACCCACTTACATTCAAGTTAATTTTCCTGGAGTGTTCCCATGTAGAAAAATTTTAATATTCTTAAAATAACGTAATTCAATGGAGTGGTACGCACACACCACTTCATGCATATCACCTACACCTCACACAAGAAAAGTAAAATTGCTGGAACTCCTGCTAAAAACAATGTCATGCCTTTAATCCTTTTCACACTTACCTTTCTCACATTATAAAAGTCTCGATGGGGATTACTCTTTAGTTCTTTAAATTCTGACATTTCATTTAACATCTCATGTAAACTAAATTTAGATTCTAAAAAGTTAAGCCTCCGATGACAGTATGTTTTTCTGTAAAAGAAAACACAGAAATTAACTGTAGCTTAAAACTATTTGTATTTCAATTTCAGAAAAAACTTGAAATTTTTCACAGTAAAAAATTATTTTTTTTGTGAAGACCAAGACAAATCCATTCTTATTCTACTTGTTAAGTAAATATCCAATATGATTTCAGACCAAGGTTATTAGTGAAACCTCAAACAGAACTCTACATAAGTGTTATGCCCTTTAAATCGTCCAAGTATTGTTATCACTGTATCTGTGCATAAACTGCAGTTCCTTTAGTAATGATGACCAGAAAAAGCAAAAAAACTATAATAAAATGTGATGTCAATTGCTACTACTCTGAAACTATACCTCCAATACAGCACATCACCTCATATATAACAGAAACAACCTGTAATCCACACTTACTCACTATGGAAATAATTAAAAAAAAAAAAATCCCCAAGGTTTATTTGCTTTTTCAATGTGAATATAAGAAGCCAAGATAAGATCCGATATACTTTCAATTTTTATCCCTTAAAAACACATATATGATGTAGAAATACTTTTTTCCAAAATAATTTCTCGTGCTCGCCTTAGAAAAATCATGCTTTTTTTTGTTCCTGTTTGCCTACTCCTCTGTCTTCACTTTGAACTTCTGTTTCTCATTCTATTTTTAACCCGTGACATGGTTTTTCTCTTCACCATCTGTCAATTCTTATTGAATCTACAATATTTTTGTAGCACTATTAATGTAATAGCCTTCTTTTTTCTGCTTTATTGTTGACAATCTCTCCTCAGTGGGACACAAATCCCATTATAGATTTGAAGTCCGATTCAAACGCAGTCTCACTGTATCTGATACTGATCGAGACCCATTTGCCCGCTGCAGGAAGTCTTTGTTGGGTTATACTATTATTCAAGAGACCGGAAGACTGAGGAGTAGGGGTGAGATTTCACCAGTTTAAGAACAGTAAAGATTAAAGAACAATGGGATCTTGATCTCCAAGCAGCCCCATGTGTGATAGACATAAACGACAGGAAAGCACTTGCTGCAAACAGGGAAACAATACCATATGAAGAGCTTATGCAACAGGATTAGTGAAAAGACTTTTTCCTTTCAGTTTGTGTGTATTTATCAGGGAGTGTGAATGAGCCTGCAAAAGCTTAATCTGAAGAAGTGAAAGGAGCAGAGGATTGCTCCTACATTCACAAAGGTGCTGAGTGTTCTAACATGTCCTACCAAGGCCCTTCTTAAGGCTTCCTGATAAAGACTGTTAACAAAAGCTGCGAAAAGAAACGGCATGAGTATGACTTTTGTTTCAAGTTTTTACTCCTTGTCCTTTAATCTTCCCAATTTCTGCCTCTTGGAATATGGAGAATGAAACTGGAAATGCATTTACCCATTGCATTCTGTAAACAAGCATACTCAAGCTAGCTTTGATTTGGAGCAGGAAT